ATACATAACACACAGTACAGACAGTAACACGTAAACACACAGAGTAAACACAGTAACACACAGTAAAAAACATACATAATAGTAACAACAGATATACATCAGTAACACACAGTAACACACAGTAAAACCCAGTAACATACAAACACAGTAACACACAGTAACACACGTTAAACAACAGTAAACCCTAGTAACAACGTAACATACAGTAACACAGTAACACACAGTAACACACAGTAACCACAGTAACAGTACGTAACACCTACAGTAACACACAGTAACACACAGTAACATACTAACATACAGTAACCAACAGTAACACACAGTAACATACAGTAAACACACAGTACACACGTAACATCACCAAGTAACAAACAAAGTAACACAGCAAGGTAACAAATAAAATACACAGACACCGTAATACACATAAACAGATACAAAAACACACAGTAACACACATTAACAACAGTAACACACGAAGTAACACACAGTAAGTCATACAGACACAGGTAACACAAATAACAACAGGAAGTAACATAGTAACAAACAGTAACACACAGTAACACACAGTAACACACAAAAAGTAACACACAGAAACATACATAACACACAGTAACACACAAACACACAGTAACAACATAACAACAGTAGCACACACAGCTAACAACAGTAGCAACAGTAACCACATACCAAACACAGTAACAATGAGTAACACAAAGTAACACACAGTAAACACACTAAACACACAGTAACACAATAACACAATAACACACAGTAACATACAGTAACACACAGTAACACACAGTAACATACAGTAACACACAATAACATACAGTAACATACAGTAACACAACACACAGTAACACACAGTAACATACAGTAACACACAGTAACACACATACAATAACACAGTAACACAAAGTAAAACACCATCCCGAACAAAGTAACTACAAAACACACAGTAACATACAGTAACACACAATAAATAAGAAACAAAGAAAAAAGTAGAAAAAAGTAAAATACAGAAAAACATAACCAAGGAAAAGAAAAAAAATACAGTAACAACAGTAACATACAGTAACAACACAGTAACAACAGTTAAACACAATAACACACAGTAACACAAAAATAACAAAAACAAAGTAAACACTAACAGTAACACACAGGTAATAATAACATACGTAACATACAGTACACACAGTAACACACAGTAACAACACAGTAACACACGTAGTAACATAACATACAGTAACACACGGTAACATACCGTAACAACAGTAACATAACAGTAACCCCCACACAGTAAACAACGTAACACACGTCAACATACAGTAACACACAGTAACTACAGTAACAACAGTAACATACAGTAAACACACAGTCCAGTAACAACAGATAACATACAGTAACACACAGTAACACACAGTAACACACAGTAACACACAGTAACACACAGTAACATACAATAACACACAGTAACACACAGTAACATACAGTAACAACAGTACACAAGTAACACACAGAAACAACAGTAAACATCAGTAACACACAGTAACATACAGTAAACTACAGTAACACACAGTAACACCGTAACAACAGTAACACACAGTAACATAGTAAACACACAGGTAGCACACAGTAACACACAGATAACACACAGTAACACACAGTAACAATCACAGTAACAACAGGTAACAAACAGTAACAACAGTAACACACAGTAACATACAGTAACACAGAAACACAGTAACATACAGTAAACACACAGTAACAAACAGTAAACACACAGTAACACACCAGTAAACACAGTAACACCAGTAACAACACAGTAACACACAGTAACATACAGTAACACACAGTAACATACAGTAACACACAGTAACATACAGTAACACACAGTAACACACACGTAACACACGGTAACACACAGTAACACACAGTAACATACAGTAACATACAGTAACATACAGTAACACACAGTAACACACAGTAACATCATAACACACAGTAACATACAGTAACACACAGTAACACAGTAACACACAGTAACATACAATAACACACAGTAACACACAGTAACACACAGTAACACACAGTAACATACAGTAAAACACAGTAACACACAGTAACATACAGTAACACACAGTAAAACACACGTGTACATGATCATGGATGTGTGTGTGGTAGAGGAGGGGTGGTTCACCAGGAGGATCTGTATGAAGCTCTGTCCAGTGGTCAGATAGCTGGAGCCGGGCTTGATGTCACCGTCCCTGAACCCCTGCCCACCAGCCACCCACTCTTCACCCTTAACAACTGTGGTGAGTATAAACATGGTGTGTGTGTGTGTGGTTTAGAGTTGGACCAATTTGATTCTGCTATTCCCTGTTTCATTTATTACTGTTCTCTGCTGTCAGTCCAATACTCTCTCTCCAGTGATCATCTCTCTCTCTCTCTCCAGTGATCATTTCTTATTCCAGTGATCATCTCTCTCTCTCTCTCCCTCCAGTGATCATCTCTCTCTCTCTCTAGTGATCATCTCTCGCTCTCTCCAGTGATCATCTCTCTCTCTCTCTCGCTCCCCAGTGATCCTCTCTCTCTCCAGTGATCATCTCTCTCTCTCTCCAGTGATCATCTCTCTCTCTCTCTCTCTCTCTCCGTGATCATTCTTCTCTCCAGTGATCATCTCTCTCTCTCTCTCCTCCAGTGATCATCTCTCTCTCTCTAGTGATCATCTCTCGCTCTCTCCAGTGATCATCTCTCTCTCTCTCTCCAGTGATCATCTCTCTCTCTCGCTCCCCAGTGATCCTCTCTCTCTCCAGTGATCATCTCTCTATCCCTCCAGTGATCATCTCTCTCTCTCTCCAGTGATCATCTCTCTCTCTCTCTCTCCAGTGATCATCTCTCTCTCCCTCCAGTGATCATCTCTCCTCTCCAGTGATCATCTCTCTCTCCACAGTGATCATCTCTCTCTCTACAGTGATATCTCTCTAGGGATACTCTCCCTCTCCAGTGATCACTCTCTCTCTCTCTCTCTCCAGTGATCATCTCTCTCTCTCCAGTGATCATCCCTCTCTCTCCAGTGATAATTCTCTCTCTCCAGTGATCATCTCTCTCTCTCTCTCCAGTGTTAATCTCTCTCTCTCCAGTGATAATCCCTCTCTCTCCCCAGTGATCATATCTCTCTCTCTCCAGTGATCATCCCTCTCTCTCTCCAGTGATCATCTCTCTCTCACTCTCTCGCTCTCTCTCCAGTGATCATCTCTCTCTCTCTCTCTCTCCAGTGATCCTCCCCCACATTGCCAGTGCGTCCTACACCACGCGTAACACAATGTCTGCCCTGGCAGCCAACAACCTGCTACGGGGCTGAAGGGACAGCCAATGATCAAAGAGCTCAAGCTGTAGCTGCCAATCACCTGCTTTGGAACACCAGAGGAGAACCAATGATTGAAGAGCTCTTACCAAACTGTAAATGATATAGTTGACTCTGGTAAAAAAAAAAAGATGAGTAGACTACATAGAGAATAGGCTAGTGTTGTCATACGTAGCACTCAGTATTTCCTCATTTCAGATGTTTTTATGATTTTGTTTCATAATAATGACGAAGGACAACAATAAACATGGAACTTTTCCCATCTTTTAATTCAGTCTGTAACGACAACTGGGACGATATTGTCCTCCATTACTTTATTAGTTTCTCCTCAACAAAGAAAGAAACAAAGAAGTTTACATTTCATTTTCTCTTTGGGGCAGCGTCTCAAACGGCACCCTATTCCCTACATAGTGCACTACTTTAGACCAGAGTGTGTCAGTGGCTTTGATCGGAAGTAGTGAACTACACAGGGAACAGGGCGCCATTTGAGATGCTAACCAAACATTGTTACACTATGTTAGAAGTGTAGAAAAACAACACAGAAATCCTTCACTTTTGGCATTTGGATAAAGCCCAGCTTTTAAAGGCAGTAACTTTCTTCATCAATTATATTATTACATAAACAAATGTTTTTTTTCTTCTCTTTAATCCTTTTCAGTTTTTTTTGTTTTGTGTTTTGTAGTATTCACACCGGGGCTGTTGTTTGTATAAATATGACCATACAGTGCACTTTCAAAGATTCACATATTTTCTTAAAGTCAACTCAAAATAAAAACAACAGTTTCAGAGATGGAAGCCATTTTAGATCTGTTTAACAAGGGTCCTCATGTCCTTCAGGGGTACCTACGGATTATGCCTGACTGAAAAAGTGCTTAAGTACTAAATAATGTTTTACTTCAGTGATCAATTAAATTAGCTATAAACTCAGTATTAGTTTTTAAATTAATTGGTTAGCAATGAAGGTGCATTTTCAGTGTGGCTATAATACTGTGGGTATTCAGCTGTTAGAAACAGTACGATAGCTACAGTGGGGGGAAAAAAAAGATTTAGTCAGCCACCAATTGTGCAAGTTCTCCCACTTAAAAAGATGAGAGAGGCCTGTAATTTTCATCATAGGTACACGTCAACTATGACAGACAAAAATGAGAAGAAAAAAAAATCCAGAAAATCACATTGTATGATTTTTTAATGAATTTATTTGCAAATTATGGTGGAAAATAAGTATAAGGAAACCTCTTAAAGTCTTTTAGCACAGACTGAGCGACAGTGTGAAGACTCCACAGACTGAGTAACAGTGAAGACTCCACAGACTGAGTAACAGTGAAGACTCCACAGACTGAGTAACAGTGAAGACTCCACAGACTGAGTAACAGTGAAGACTCCACAGACTGAGTAACAGTGAAGACTCCACAGACTGAGTAACAGTGTGAAAACTCCACAGACTGAGTAACAGTGTGAAGACTCCACAGACTGAGTAACAGTGAAGACTCCACAGACTTGAGCGACAGTGTGAAGACTCCACAGACTGAGTAACAGTGTGAAGACTCCACGGCCTTAAGGTTTCCACTAGTTACCCGGCTACGCATCCACACTGAGCGACTCTCAAATGCCACCCTAGTTTCTTTCTAGTGCACTAAATAGCGAGGTCGTCCTCTGACCAGTCGGTCAGTTTAACTACAACAGAACTCAGTACGGTAACAACGGTTACCGGTCCAACACATTGCCACGGAAACACAGAACCACACAATCCAACATTCTTATTAGCAGTCTAAGCTTTTTTTTTTTTTTTGGGGGGGGGTTTAGGGTAATATATATATATAGTATTGTCTAAAGACTGTTACAGTTGAAGTGTTGGATCGATGTATTAAAAATACATTTAAGAAGCACAGATACTGTACCAAACTGTTCCACGACATCTAGTAACCAACAACACTATTGTTATAGTTAACTGGGGCCCAGAGTAATCCCTGATCATGTGACCTGACCAGGAGATACTCCAGGCTCTAGTTATAGACACTGGTTCTATTTGATGTCCCCTTGCAGAGGAAAGTGTTAAAGCCAATATTTTAAATGTGCAATATTTACATTTCTAATGTTTTGTCCTGTGAGGAGAGGGGATAAGGGTCCCCCATGTTCCCTATGTAGTCCACTACTACCCTATGGGTCCTGGTCTAAAGTAGTGCACTATATAGGGAATAGGGTGTTTCATTCAAAAAGGTGCACCGATGAAAAGGCAACTCCATATTTAAAAAAAAATAAAACATCTGACTTTGACATGAATGTAAAGGACCTCTCCTAGCCTGGGTCCCAGACCTGTTTTTAAAGGACCATAAGAGGAAATGGTCCCCTCTCATAGCCTGGGTCCCAGATCTGTTTTTAAAGGACCATAAGAGGAAATGGTCCCCTCTCATAGCCTGGTCCCAGATCTGTTTTTAAAGGACCATAAGAGGAAATAATCCCCTCATAGCCTGGTCCCAGATCTGTTTTTAAAGGACCATAAGAGGAAATGATCCCCTCATAGCCTGGGTCCCAGATCTGTTTTTAAAGGACCATAAGAGGAAATGGTCCCCTCATAGCCTGGTCCCAGACCTGTTTTTAAAGGACCATAAGAGGAAATGATCCTCTCATAGCCTGGGTCCCAGATCTGTATGTGCTCTTTCCAACTCCATTACCGTCATTTACAATGAATGACAAGGAGTGGGGCAAGACAGCACAGACAGGCTGTCTCTCAGGCTAGTCCACCCTCTCTCCTTTAGATCTCTGTTCTCCTCCCCAAGCCAAGCTCCAGGTTTAGCGTTGCACAATTCCCCAAAATTATCAGGTTTTCCAGTAAGCAGGAAATCCTGAATCCTCCAGCCAGGATTTCTGGAAAACCTGGGAATTTGGGGAAAGTTATCGGAGTTTTGCAACCCTATCTAGGTTTCAGCTTCAGGACTGTTCTGAATCTCCCTATCCAGGTTCAGCTTCAGGACGTTCTGATCTCCCTATCCAGGTTTCAGCTTCAGGACTGTTTTGAAACTCCCTAGCCAGGTTTCCCGCTTCAGGGGCTGTTCTGAATCCCCTATCCAGGTTTCAGCGTCAGGACTGTTCTGAATCTCCCTAGCCAGTTTCTGCTTCAGGACTGTTCTGAATCTCCCTAGCCAGGTTTCAGTTTCAGGACTGGTTCTAAATCTCCCTATCCAGGTTGTTTCAGTTTCTGCCTGTACTTTTCATCATAGGTACACGTCAACTATGACAGACAAAATGTGGAGAAAAAAAAAATCCAGAAAATCACATTGTAGGATTTTTTAATGAATTTATTTGCAAATTATGGTGGAAAATAAGTATAAGGAAACCTCTTAAAGTCTTTTAGCACATACTGAGTGACAGTGTGAAGACTCCACGGCCTTAAGGTTTCCACTAGTTACCCCGGCTACCCATCCACACTGAGCGACTCTCAAATGCCACCCTAGTTTCTTTCTAGTGCACTAAATAGCGAGGTCGTCCTCTGACCAGTCGGTCAGTTTAACTACAACAGAACTCAGTACGGTAACAACGTTACCGGTCCAACACATTGCCACGGAAACACAGAACCACATAATCCAACATTCTTATTAGCAGTCTAAGCTTTTTTTTGGGGGGGGGGGGGGGTTAGGGTAATATACAGTGGGGAGAACAAGTATTTGATACACTGCCGATTTTGCAGGTTTTCCTACTTACAAAGCATGTAGAGGTCTGTAATTTTTATCATAGGTACACTTCAACTGTGAGAGACGGAATCTAAAACAAAAATCCTAAAAATCACATTGTATGATTTTTAAGTAATTAATTTGCATTTTATTGCATGACATAAGTATTTGATACATCAGAAAAGCAGAACTTAATATGTGGTACAGAAACCTTTGTTTGCAATTACAGAGATCATATGTTTCCTGTAGGTCTTGACCAGGTTTGCACACACTGCAGCAGGGATTTTGGCCCACTCCTCCATACAGACCTTCTCCAGATCCTTCAGGTTTCGGGGCTGTCACTGGGCAATACGGACTTTCAGCTCCCTCCAAAGATTTTCTATTGGGTTCAGGTCTGGAGACTGGCTAGGCCACTCCAGGACCTTGAGATGCTTCTTACGGAGCCACTCCTTAGTTGCCCTGGCTGTGTGTTTCGGGTCGTTGTCATGCTGGAAGACCCAGCCACGACCCATCTTCAATGCTCTTACTGAGGGAAGGAGGTTGTTGGCCAAGATCTCGCGATACATGGCCCCATCCATCCTCCTCTCAATACGGTGCAGTCGTCCTGTCCCCTTTGCAGAAAAGCATCCCCAAAGAATGATGTTTCCACCTCCATGCTTCACGGTTAGGATGGTGTTCTTGGGGTTGTACTCATCCTTCTTCTTCCTCCAAACACGGCGAGTGGAGTTTAGACCAAAAAGCTCTATTTTTGTCTCATCAGACCACATGACCTTCTCCCATTCCTCCTCTGGATCATCCAGATGGTCATTGGCAAACTTCAGACGAGCCTGGAGATGCGCTGGCTTGAGCAGGGGGACCTTGCGTGCGCTGCAGCCATGACGGCGTAATGTGTTACTAATGGTTTTCTTTGAGACTGTGGTCCCAGCTCTCTTCAGGTCATTGACCAGGTCCTGCCGTGTAGTTCTGGGCTGATCCCTCACCTTCCTCATGATCATTGATGCCCCACGAGGTGAGATCTTGCATGGAGCCCCAGACCGAGGGTGATTGACCGTCATCTTGAACATCTTCCATTTTCTAATAATTGCACCAACAGTTGTTGCCTTCTCACCAAGCTGCTTGCCTATTGTCCTGTAGCCCATCCCAGCCTTATGCAGGTCTACAATTTTATCCCTGATGTCCTTACACAGCTCTCTGGTCTTGGCCATTGTGGAGAGGTTGGAGTCTGTTTGATTGAGTGTGTGGACAGGTGTCTTTTATACATGTAACGAGTTCAAACAGGTGCAGTTAATACAGGTAATGAGTGGAGAACAGGAGGGCTTCTTAAAGAAAAACGAACAGGTCTGTGAGAGCCGGAATTCTTACTGGTTGGTAGGTGATCAAATACTTATGTCATGCAATAAAATGCAAATTAATTACTTAAAAATCATACAATGTGATTTTCTGGATTTTTGTTTTAGATTCAGTCTCTCACAGTTGAAGTGTACCTATGATAGAAATTACAGACCTCTACATGCTTTGTAAGTAGGAAAACCTGCAAAATCGGCAGTGTATCAAATACTTGTTCTCCCCACTGTATATATATAGTATTGTCTAAAGATTATGTTACAGTTGAAGTGTTAGATCGATGTATTAAAAATACATTTAAGAAGCACAGATACTGTACCAAACTGTTCCACGACATCTAGTAACCAACAACACTATGTTATAGTTAACTGGGGCCCAGAGTAATCCCTGATCATGTGACCTGACCAGGAGATACTCCAGGCTCTAGTTATAGACACTGGTTCTATTTGATGTCCCCCTCGCAGAGGAAAGTGTTAAAGCCAATATTTTAAATGTGCAATATTTACATTTCTAATGTTTTGTCCTGTGAGGAGAGGGGATAAGGGTCCCCATGTTCCCTATGTAGTCCACTACTACCCTTTGGGTCCTGGTCAAAAGTAGTGCACTATATAGGGAATAGGGTGTTTCATTCAAAAAGGTGCACCGATGAAAAGGCAACTCCATATTTAAAAAAAATGTAAACATCTGACTTTGACATGAATGTAAAGGACCAGGAGAAGAAGTGGTCCTCTCCTAGCCTGGTCCCAGACCTGTTTTTAAAGGACCTTGAGAGGAAATGGTCCCCTCATAGCCTGGTTCCCAGACCTGTTTTTAAAGGACCATAAGAGGAAATGTTCCCCTCATAGCCTGGGTCCCAGATCTGTTTTTAAAGGACCATAGAGGAATGATCCCTCATGCCTGGGTCCAGATCTGTTTTTAAAGGACATAAGAGGAAATGTCCTTCATAGCTGTCCCAGATCTGTTTTAAAGGCCCATAAGAGGAAATGATCCCTCATAGCCTGGTCCCAGATCTGTTTTTAAAGGACCATAAGAGGAAATGGTCCCCATAGCTGTCCCATGTAGTGCTCTTTCAACCCATACTGTCATTTAAATGAATGACAATGGGCGAATCAGCAGCTGTTTGTATCCCTCATCTCACTAATTCGTCTCCCCAAAAGCAACTTCAGTTTAGCGTTGCACAATCCAAAAATTATCAGGTTTCCAGTAAGTCAGGAACCTGAATCTCCAGCCGGTTTCTGAAACCTGTTTGGGGAAGTTACGAGTTTGAACCCTATCAGGATTCAGCTAGGCTGTCGAATCTCCCTATCCAGGTTCAGTTCAGGACTGTTCTGAATCTCCCTACCAGGTTCTCAGCTTCAGACTGTTTTCTCCCTACAGGTTCAGTTTCAGGACTTTTCTGAATCTCCCTATCCAGGTTCAGCTCAGACTGTTTTACTAAAATATCCCTAGCCGGGTCAACTCAGGACTTTTTGAATTCCATCCAGGGTTCATTCAGGCTGTTGATCTCCCTATAGGTTCGTCAGACTGTTTGAATCTCCTATCAGGTTCGCTAAGACTGTTCTGATCCTCCCATCAGGTTCAGTCTCGATGTTCTGAATTCCCACTCCAGGTTTCAGCTTCAGTGATGTCTGATGGCCTAGCAGTCTCAACCAGGACTGTCTATCTCCTAGCGGTTTCACATGCCGTCTGATCTCCTATCCTTCTTTCAGATTCTGTTCCCTCCCAGTTTCAGCTCAGACTTTCTGTTCCCTAGCAGTTTAGCTTCAGACTTTTCTAAATCTCCTATCCAGGTTTCAACTTCAGGACATTCTGAATCTCCATCCAGGTTTCAGTTCAAGCCTGGTGAATCTCCCGATCCAGGTTTTCATTTCAGGACTGTTCGAATCTCCTATCAAGGTTTCAGCTTCAGGACTGTTCTGAATCTCCCTACCAGGTTTCAGCTTCAGGACTGTTCTGAATCTCCCTAGCCAGGTTTCAGCTTCAGGACTTTTCTGAATCTCCCTACCAGGTTTCAGCTTCAGGACTGTTCTGAATCTCCCTATCCAGGTTTCAGTTCAGGACTGTTCTGAATCTCCCTATCCAGGTTTCAGCTTCAGGACTGTTCTGAATCTCCCTACCAGGTTTCAGTTTCAGGACTGTTCTGAATCTCCCTAGCCAGGTTTCAGTTTCAGGACTTTTCTGAATCTCCCTATCCAGGTTTCAGCTTCAGGACTTTCTAAATCTCCCTAGCCAGGTTTCAACTCAGGACTTTCTGAATCTCCCTATCCAGGTTTCAGTTTCAGGCCTGTTCTGAATCTCCCTATCCAGGTTTCAGTTTCAGGCTGTTCTGAATCTCCCTATCCAGGTTTCAGTTTCAGGACTGTTCTGAATCTCCTATCAGGTTTCAGCTTCAGGACTGTTCTGAATCTCCCTATCCAGGTTTCAGCTTCAGGACTGTTCTGAATCTCCCTAGCCAGGTTTCAGCTTCAGGACTGTTCTGAATCTCCCTAGCCAGGTTTCAACTTCAGGACTGTTCTGAATCTCCCTAGCCAGGTTTCAGCTTCAGGCCTGTTCTGAATCTCCCTATCCAGGTTTCAGTTTCAGGACTGTTCTGAATCTCCCTAGCCAGGTTTCAGCTTCAGGACTGTTCTGAATCTCCCTAGCCAGGTTTCAGCTTCAGGACTTTTCTGAATCTCCCTATCCAGGTTTCAGCTTCAGGACTTTTCTAAATCTCCCTAGCCAGGTTTCAACTTCAGGACTTTTCTGAATCTCCCTATCCAGGTTTCAGTTTCAGGCCTGTTCTGAATCTCCCTATCCAGGTTTCAGTTTCAGGACTGTTCTGAATCTCCCTATCAAGGTTTCAGCTTCAGGACTGTTCTGAATCTCCCTATCCAGGTTTCAGCTTCAGGACTGTTCTGAATCTCCCTAGCCAGGTTTCAGCTTCAGGACTGTTCTGAATCTCCCTAGCCAGGTTTCAGCTTCAGGACTTTTCTGAATCTCCCTATCCAGGTTTCAGCTTCAGGACTGTTCTGAATCTCCCTATCCAGGTTTCAGTTTCAGTTCTGAATCTCCCTAGCCAGGTTTCAGCTTCAGGACTGTTCTGAATCTCCCTATCCAGGTTTCAGCTTCAGGACTGTTCTGAATCTCCCTATCCAGGTTTCAGTTTCAGGACTGTTCTGAATCTCCCTAGCCAGGTTTCAGCTTCAGGACTGTTCTGAATCTCCCTATCCAGGTTTCAGCTTCAGGACTGTTCTGAATCTCCCTAGCCAGGTTTCAGTTTCAGGACTGTTCTGAATCTCCCTTGCCAGGTTTCAGCTTCAGGACTGTTCTGAATCTCCCTATCCAGGTTTCAGCTTCAGGACTGTTCTGAATCTCCCTAGCCAGGTTTCAGTTTCAGGACTGTTCTGAATCTCCCTAGCCAGGTTTCAGCTTCAGGACTGTTCTGAATCTCCCTATCCAGGTTTCAGCTTCAGGACTGTTCTGAATCTCCCTAGCCAGGTTTCAGTTTCAGGACTGTTCTGAATCTCCCTTGCCAGGTTTCAGCTTCAGGACTGTTCTGAATCTCCCTATCCAGGTTTCAGCTTCAGGACTGTTCTGAATCTGAAGTCCTGTTTCAGAAAGGTTCTGAACATGGTTCCAATAGGAACACAACAGGGTTCCATCTCCCCCCCATCCTGAAGGGACTCCTTTTCTAAAGCGATCGCATCTGTCAACGGTCCTGTTTGGCTCGGTTGGTAGAACATGGCACTTGCAACACCAGGGTTGTGGGTTCGATTCCTGCTGGGGGCCACCCATAGACATGCACACACTACTGTAAAGTCGCTTTGGATGAAAGTGTTTGTCTCTAGCTTTGAGTCTATTAACTCCTAGTGTCGATTTTTCCACAGCCCACGCAAAAAAATAATTAGCATAATATAAAAAATCCCCATAAAAATCTGTCAGTTTAAGTTAAGAGATATTTTTGTATTTGGATGAGTCTCAATCCACCGATGTCACACTTCCACATCTGCGGTGAAAGAGCGGTGGTTTGTCAGATGACTCCCGAAAGCGTCTTGGGGACTCGGCCGATCTGCCGACTTCTGTCTTGGCAGCGTTCCGAACAGTTTGGGGCCCACACACCAATATGACCCCATCTGTGGAAAGGTGAGACTCTCACCAACATGTCGGTTCTGTTCTAGGCGGGCCCACAGGCCTCACAAGGTCCCCCCCCGGTACCAGTTGAACAGACAGGGCTGAGACTGTAGAAGGTTAAAGGCAGTGAGTCCTGAGTCCACTCTAGACAAAGTACAGGTGATACTGTATAGACCCCTTCAGATTCTAATCTGGACAATCAAAGCCAGTTCCACTGCTATTTTCCATTCTTCCCCTCTAATCAGAAACGGATTTAGACCTGGGAGTATTTCTGGACATTTTTTAGAAACTCAAACCTACCTAGCAGGGCTGTATTTACAAGGAACCAAAACGGAACCAATTGTCCAATACAAACTCTTGTTTTTGTTGAAAATCTTTTTTTTTTTTTTTAGCTACGGTGTGTGACTAATGAGCAGGTCAGGTCTTCCCCTACAGCAGTAACTTTATGATCCTCCAACCGGGATTTATGGAGAAACCTTCCCAAAACTTCTGGTAAGTTTCCCAGGAATTTCCCAATCCAACTCAACCCTACCAGGCCAGCCTACCACTCTACATCAGTATGTTGGGCATGTTGCTGTTCTGCCAGCGCAGGCAGGTGGTCTTTGGGAGTGTTTGTACAGGTGGGACGACTGGCTGAAGCGCTTGACTCGTTAGCATTTAGCTAGCATCCGCTATGGGAATTCTCTACTACTCCTACAGTGATCACATCAGTGTGTTGGGCATATTGCTGTTCTGCCAGCGCAGGCAGGTGGTCTTGGAGTGTTTGTACAGGTGGGACGACTGGCTGAAGCGCTTGACTCGTTAGCATTTAGCTAGCATCCGCTATGGGAATTCTCTACTACTCTGGTATACCGGTATACCCCGGTATGGCACAAGGACGGTACAAAACGTATACAATCTGGATAACGTCCAACCCCAAATGTCCACTCCTCTTACGTGTCCAAATCATCTATCACTCCTACAGTGATCACATCAGTGTGTTGGGCATGTTGCTGTTCTGCCAGCGCAGGCAGGTGGTCTTGGAGTGTTTGTACAGGTGGACGACTGGCTGAAGCGCTTGCCACACTTGAGGCAGGCGTAAGGCTTCTCCCCTGTGTGGACTCTGATGTGTTTCTTACAGTCGGTCAGGGTGAGAAAGGTCTTACAGCAGATCCTACAGGCGTACTTCCTGGCTCCCTCTACTACCAGGACGTTGTGCTCGGACAGGGCCTTCTTACACTTGGAGAGGACGTCCGCTGAGGCACGGGTCAGCTGGGGGTGGGGGTTGGGGGCGGAGGAGGAGGAGGAGGAGGTGGGTGGGCCTGACTCGTAACCCCCCGACCCGTTCAGAAGCAGGGGTCCCCCTTCCCCCAGACTGGAGGAAGACAGGGAGTCTTGGAGAACGGCCCCGGCTCCTCCTCCTCCCATGTTGTCGTTTTTAGGTGCGATGCGGCGGTATCCAGGAAATCCCAGGGAGCCCCCTCTAGAGGCCCGGGCCAGGGAGTGCAGTCCCAGGCTGGATCGCTGGAAGTCCAGAGAGAACAGGTCTGGAAACCCTCCTCCTCCTCCCCTGGGGTTTCCCAGCCCGTCATGCAGGGGCCGCAGGAAGAGCGAATCAGCGTCTGTAGAGAATCCCCCGAGACCGTCGCCACCCAGCAGGTTCAGGTGGGTGGCCGACCCGGGACGGAGCATCGAGGACGAGGCGGAGTTAGTGGTCCCAGAGTGTTCCGGGCTCAGCAGGAAGTGATGTGCCGCTGCCATCGCCTCGCCAGTCGTCGTGTTGAGGTCGTCGTCCCCGGCATCGACCCCCGACCCCGCGCCTCCAAAGACCTTGGAGCTGAGGAAGCTAGAAATCCTAAAACCAGACTTCCCATCAAGATGGTCGCTACACCCAAAACCACCTCCACTCCCCCCACCAATACCTCCTTTCAGCAGGAGCTGGGATCTGGGCTGGAGCAGCTGTTGGTCAGAGGAGGAGAGACTGCGGTCGCTGCTCTGTGGGCTCAGTTCTACCTTCTCCCCCTCTTCTTCTCCTCCTCCTCCTCCTCCTCCTCCTCCTTCTCCAGGTCTCAGCTGATCGCTGCCCTGGATGGTGAGGTCATCAGCTGGCTCCGGGGAGCTCAGAGGCTCACACTTCACCACCACCTGGAGGAGAGCAGGGACCTCAGAGACATGAAAGAGGACAACAGGACATGACCCCATGACTTTATCCAAGGTTGTTTTGTTTTTTAAAATCCTTTATTTAACCGGGGTAATTATGGATAGACAGTTGTTTCATACATCGCTAACTCTTTAAAATGGCATGTGTCCCAAATGGCTCCCTTTAACCTGCACTATAGGCCCTGGTCTAAAGTAGTGCACTATAGGCCCTGGTCTAAAGTAGTGCACTATGGGCCCTGGTCTAAAGTAGTGCACTATAGGCCCTGGTCTAAAGTAGTGCACTATAGGCCCTGGTCTAAAGTAGTGCACTAAGGGCTCTCTGGTCTAAAGTAGTGCACTATAGGCCCTGGTCTAAAGTAGTGCACTATAGGCCCTGGTCTAAAGTAGTGCACTATGGGCTCTGGTCTAAAGTAGTGCACTATGGGCCCTGGTCTAAAGTAGTGCACTATAGGCTCTGGTCTAAAGTAGTGCACTAAGGGCTCTCTGGTCTAAAGTAGTGCACTAAGGGCTCTGGTCTAAAGCAGTGCACTAAGGGCTCTCTGGTCTAAAGTAGTGCACTATAGGCCCTGGTCTAAAGCAGTGCACTAAGGGCTCTCTGGTCTAAAGTAGTGCACTAAGGGCTCTGGGTCTAAAGTAGTGCACTAAGGGCTCTCTGGTCTAAAGTAGTGCACTAAGGGCCCTGGTCTAAAGTAGTGCACTAAGGGCCCTGGTCTAAAGTAGTGCACTATGGGCTCTGGTCTAAAGTAGTGCACTATGGGCTCTGGTCTAAAGTAGTGCACTAAGGGCCCTGGTCTAAAGTAGTGCACTATGGGCCCTGGTCTAAAGTAGTGCACTATGGGCTCTGGTCTAAAGTAGTGCACTAAGGGCTCTGGTCTAAAGTAGTGCACTAAGGGCTCTGGTCTAAAGTAGTGCACTATGGGCCCTGGTCTAAAGTAGTGCACTATAGTCCCTGGTCTAAAGTAGTGCACTATGGGCTCTGGTCTAAAGTAGTGCACTATAGTCCCTGGTCTAAAGTAGTGCACTATGGGCTCTGGTCTAAAGTAGTGCACTATAGTCCCTGGTCTAAAGTAGTGCACTATGGGCTCTGGTCTAAAGTAGTGCACTATAGGCCCTGGTCTAAAGTAGTGCACTATGGGCTCTGGTCTAAAGTAGTGCACTATGGGCTCTGGTCTAAAGTAGTGCACTAAGGGCTCTGGTCTAAAGTAGTGCACTATGGGCTCTGGTCTAAAGTAGTGCACTATGGGCTCTGGTCTAAAGTAGTGCACTAAGGGCTCTCTGGTCTAAAGTAGTGCACTATGGGCTCTGGTCTAAAGTAGTGCACTAAGGGCTCTCTGGTCTAAAGTAGTGCACTATGGGCTCTGGTCTAAAGTAGTGCACTATAGGCCCTGGTCTAAAGTAGTGCACTATGGGCTCTGGTCTAAAGTAGTGCACTATGGGCTCTGGTCTAAAGTAGTGCACTAAGGGCTCTCTGGTCTAAAGTAGTGCACTATGGGCTCTGGTCTAAAGTAGTGCACTAAGGGCTCTCTGGTCTAAAGTAGTGCACTAAGGGCTCTCTGGTCTAAAGTAGTGCACTAAGGGCTCTGGTCTAAAGTAGTGCACTAAGGGCTCTGGTCTAAAGTAGTGCACTATAGGCCCTGGTCTAAAGTAGTGCACTTTAGAGGAAATAGGGTGCTATTTGGGACGCAAGTGAAGTATTACCTTTCCCTGTTTCTCCCGTCCTTCCTCCTCCTCCTCTTCCTCCTCCGTTCCCTCCTTCATCTTCACCTCCACCCCATCACCATGGTGACTCCCTCCATCCAGGGATTCCTTCCCCACACCCACCTCCTCCGCCATCCCTTGCTCCTCCCCTTCGCAGTGTCCTCCGTCCGATTGGCTGGGCATCTGGGAGTCATCCTGGGACACGCCCTCTGCTAGGCCAGTGATCGCCGCGTCCAGTTTAGCCTCCTCCGCAGTCTTGCGGGAGTCGTGGGAGAGTAGCCCCCCTTCCTCACCCCCGCCGGGGGGTCCAGGGGGGCGGGCCCTCTGCCTGGGCCTGTCCTCAGATAGGCCGAAGCTCAGGGAGGGCTTCCTCTTGTGGAAGCGTCGGATGGGGAAGGAAGCTCTATGCTCCACTACGCCGCTAACGCTAACACCACCGCTACCGCTAACGCCCCCGGCCCCATCCTCCTCCTCCACCCCGCCCAGGGCAGAGCTCACCAGGCTTAGACCCAGCTGCTGCAGCAGGAACGACCGCTGGAGCCTGGACGTAGCGGCGTCGGCCGCTAGGTTAGCGTTAGCCGCTAGTTTAGCGTTAGCGGCTAACTCGACGGCTGCCGTCTCCTGCCTGTGTCTCTGCTGGTCTGCGTGGGTGGGTTGGCGCTGCTGGCGGTGTTGCGTGGCCCGGTGGTCTGCCGGCGGGGACATGGGCATGGTGCGGGTGGTCAGGTAGTGTTTACAGGCCTTGACTACGGTGTTCAGGTGGAGGTGAGAGGCAGCTAGCAGCACGTCCATCACGTTGCTCTCCCCTAGCATCAGGGTGGAGGTGTACATCATGTCCACCAGGGCGGCAAACGCCTCCGCCGTCACCACCTGCAGGTCAAACACCGGGGTAAAGCCTGAGTTCAGGTCAAACACCGGGGGTAAAGCCTGAGTTCAGGTCAAACACCGGGGTAAAGCCTGAGTTCGGGTCAAACACCGGGGTAAAGCCTGAGTTCGGGTCAAACACCGGGGTAAAGCCTGAGTTCGGGTCAAACACCGGGGTAAAGCCTGAGTTCGGGTCAAACACCGGGGTAAAGCCTGGGTTCGGGTCAAGCACCGGGGTAAAGCCTGAGTTCGGGTCAAGCACCGGGGTAAAGCCTGAGTTCGGGTCAAGCACCGGGGGTAACCATATGTTTAACATTGCTTCACCTGGCTAAAGTTAGTTACAGAGAGGTCATCATCCCCACCATCCACCACATGCTTCAAATCAATCAACACAAACCTTTTGGGGTTTTCAAATTGCCGATGTCTTGGAGCTAGAACTGGGATCATAGATACGTACTGCGTCACCCCTGTTATAAACTCATCATCATCTTAATCATCACCACCTTCATCATCATCATCATCATCATCCTCACCTCGCTGTCCAGTTGTATCATGTTCATGCTGGCGTCTCCCTGGGCGACGGTGAATAGGGCCCTGAAGTGAGTGCTGCAAGCCGCCAGCACCGAGCGGTGGGCCTTAAAATGGCGGCTGCCCACCACAATGACACAGTCACACAGCTGGCTGTGGACACGCTGGTAGTTCAGCTGCTGGAAGACCTAGAATTATAACAATATGAATTATAACAATATGAATAATAACAATATGAATTATAACAATATGAATAATATCAATATGAATAATAACAATATGAATAATAACAATATGAATAATAACAATATGAATTATAACAATATGAATAATAACAATATGAATAATATCAATATGAATAATATCAATATGAATAATAACAATATGAATAATATCAATATGAATAATATCAATATGAATAATATATGAATAATGTGTGGCTCGGTCGCTAGCTAGAGCATTGTGCTTGCAACGCCAAAGGGTTGTGGGTTCGATTCCTGCTGGGGCCACCCATACATGTAAAATGTATGAATGCATGACTGTAAGTGGCTTCGGATAAAAGCGTCTGCCAAATGGCATATGTTATTATATTATTATGAACAATGCATTTTATTTGTAGAGCGTTTTTTTTTCTTCCATTTACAGACAGAAATCATAAAGCTCTTTGCATTACCTGGTCGAAGTGGCCCGGGAAGTCCATGACCTGGGGGAGGGAGGGGCGAGAGGGTAGGGAGGGGGAGAGGAGAGGAGAAAAACGGGAGAGAGGGAAAGGGGAGGTGAGAGCGAAAGAGAGGTAGGAGAGAGGGAGAGAGGAAGAGAGAGAAACAGGAGAGAGGGGGGGGAGGGGGAGAGAGGGAAAGGGGAGGTGAGAGGGAGGAGAGAGGAAGAGAGAGAAACAGGGTTGTAAAAAAATCTGTTGTGTAATAAATGAGGTCCTCTTGAGTACCATCTTGAGCTAATCTTGCTGACAAAATCTTTGATTGATTAAAAAGTTTGCTTTAAATTGACTGTCATAGGAGGAGACATTATAGTAGACTGTAGTTGAAGTTTGAAGAATAGATTTTGTAGAAGGGTATTAGCTACACTATCTATAACAATTAGTTTAATGTATTTAATGTATAGACAATAGATGTATTGTTGAAGTTACTGCATAGTATAGGCTATTTCCCGGTAAGTGAAAGTGGGAACTAGTAACGATATTAAAGATAAAATGTGTGAAATGAAAGCCAGTATGTCTATGTGAACAAGTTCAAGCAAGGTAACGGTTAGCGAGGAAACTGTTCAGTTTGTTGACGTCTAGAAGTCGAGTCTAGACAGCTAGTTAGCTAGATAACTAACTACAGATAACTAACTAACTAACTAACTAACTAACTACTGCCATCGCATGTAGTCTGCTTGGCAAGCCCTTCATAGAGACTCGCCCCGTATGGCGATTTCTATCATTGCTAGCTAGCTAAGCGAACTAACTAGCAAGTCAGCAGCTGGATAGTTAGTTAACCAGTTAGCTACTTGCTAACTTTTGGGAAAGGCGGTGTAAAAAATAAATAAAAAAATCAAATAAACCAGTAACACACAGCGATGGCGGTGAAGTAGCTAGCTAGAATGAGCCCTATGTGTGACCGACATTTTGTTATAAAATAACAGCCAAGGCCAACAACAAACATCACCTCCTGAAGTGATTATTCTCCGTTAGCTCGCTAGGTCTACGGCTACCATGGCTACCGTTAATGCTGACTACCTAGTAGCTAGATTAGCTAACGTTAACAGCTGTCAAAGTTTCCCCCTTGAAAGCAGCTTTAGCGTGCAACATTGATAACAATGAGGAACAATAAAACGTGATGATTTAAAAACAACAAACTAGCAGCTAGCTAGCTTGCTAATGTTAGCTACCGGTACGCGGTACCGTGTTGTCGGTGCTACTCCCGGGTCAGGGCGGGACAGAATGAGGACTACCGACGGCTAGGCAGGTCTTCATGGACCGCTGAAGCTACTCCAATGCTCACAGTCACACGTTCCCAATATGCGAATCCCTTTTCCGGAATGTTGTCCGACTGGTTGAACCCCAAGGACAGACACAACACAGCTAGATAGCTATGACTCCATGTAGCTACTTTGAAATAATCTACATTTTGATTTTCTTACCAAAGAGAGTCTTCTCGGGGGGCGGGGGCTTTTTTTTTTTTTTTAGAGGTGTTGAATTTTCTATCCGAAATTATATTTTAAAAAAGCCTATTTTTAAGATATACCCTGATCATATTAAAATGTCATATAAACTTACTCATTGATTATCAAGTATGATGCATTGGTAGACAGGTGAGTGGGGATGCTTTTCTCACTCAGACTTGTAGTGGCGCTAGCTCTATGTCTCACGGTAACGAGCTGCAGTGCCTTTGCCACCGAGTGCTGCAGTTTGTGGGGCTCTATGTCCTCACCGGGGTAAGGCTGCAGTACCACTCCTTGCCACAGGACGTCGCTGCAGTTGTGGGGCTCCTATTCTCACGGGGTGTACGAGCTGGTACATCCTGCCACAGGAGTCGCTGCAGTTTGTGGGGCTCCTATGTCCTCACCGGGGTAACGAGCTGCAGTACCACTCCTTGCCACAGGACGTCGCTGCAGTTTGTGGGGGCTCCTATGTCCTCACCGGGGTAACGAGCTGCAGTACCACTCCTTGCCATAGGACGTCGCTGCAGTTTGTGGGGCTCCTATGTCCTCACCGGGTAACGTTTAGGTAACGAGTCCTCTTGCCACAGGACGTCGCTGCAGTTGTGGGGGCCCCTAGTCTACCGGGAACGATTGCGTACACTCTGCCATAGGACGTCGCTGCAGTTGTGGGGGCTCCTATGTCCTCACCGGGGGTGTAACGAGCTGCAGTTACCACTCCTGCCACGCTCAGTTTTGGGGCTCCATGTCCCACCGGGTAACGAGTTGAGTACCACTCCTTGCAACCGCAGTTGTGGGGGCTCTAGTCTCACGGGTAACGAGCTGCAGTACCACTCCTTGCCATAGGACGTCGCTGCAGTTTGTGGGGGCTCCTATGTCCTCACCGGGGTAACGAGCTGCAGTACCACTCCTTGCCACAGGACGTCGCTGCAGTTTGTGGGGCTCCTATGTCCTCACACGGTTTTTGTTTATTCCTAACGAGTGCAGTTGCAGTACCACTCCTTGCCACAGGACGTCGCTGCAGTTTGTGGGGCTCCTATGTCCTCACCGGGTAACGAGTTGCAGTACCACTCCTTGCCACAGGACGTCGCTGCAGTTTGTGGGCGAATATCTCAAGATTGTTTAGGTCCTGACTGACAAACATGGAGGCAAACTGCACGTTGGTTTGCTGTGAAGAGGAGAGAGAAACCGATAAAGCTGTTATTGGTAAATATCCTATTTATGTCACAGCTATTATTAATTTTAATACATGTTTAATTACATGATTTAATTTAAGCGTCCCCAAGCATTGCCACTCTGACATGAACTCCGCATTTTGGGTCCTGTTCACGTGGGTTGTTCAGCTAGCGCAGTAACGTAACGTACTTCGGATTGTGTCATGAAGTTTTGGTCCTTGTCCTCAAGGTAAGATTGCATAATGGGTACGATTTTTGTTAGTCTCTGCATCAAGTCATAGGAAGTTAAGAGTTGCGATGCTTAGAGCCATGCGTAATACGTATGACCGAATTCATGAATCTGTAGCAGTTACCATAGACTCCAGCATTGCGTCAACGCTAATAAACTTCTGCTTGAAGCAGGCAGAGAACATAGCTAACTAGTGTTATTAGCTAACATCCGTTCTAATTCACAACGTTAGCTGGGTGATATTTAAATCTTAGTTAAAGTTACTTTTTAGGGACTAAAAGGTATTTAACTATTGATTAATCTGGCACCATCAACCATATTAGCACAAGCCGACCCTGCTTGCTTGCACTAGGTCTGACACCATCTGTGTAGATTGACACAGAGAGCTGGGGATTGGCTGAAAACGTTCCTCAATCCAGGAGTAAAATTGGTCATGGTAGCAGTCTGTAGAGACGCGCTTTAACGCAAGTATGGGTTCGATCCGACACCATAAAAAATGATGCACAGCATACTTACGTCGTTTGGATAAAGCGTTGCTAAATGGCATATGCTATAATTATAATACTTTATTAAATGATGATCCGAATTGCACATTATCTCACTAAAACCGTATTAACATTAAAACGGGTAATGGTTCCGAAGCTTTATCTTCATAAGTTACTTTTTGGATAGAAGTTTTAAATATTGATTAATGCAACACAAGGTAGCAGCAGCCGTCCCTGCTTTCTGCAAGGTCGCAGCTCCTGTAGTTTAAGACAAGCGTTGGTGAATCTGGAAAACGTCTCCTTATCAGAGAAATAGTTTTACTCGAATTGCCAAATACCATTAACCTAAGTGATAATAAACACAAATAGGTCAAGCTTTCACCATAATTCCCTGAATTTGAACACGTATTATTTATCTGATTCGAAAATGCGAATTACCATAAAAGTAGACATAATGCAAAACTACAAATCCCTGCAAGCTCCTGCACCTCATCTCTAACTGACACCTTTGCTAACAGGTATTGTGTCGTTTTAGAACTTGCACAAGACGGTTCACAGAATTGTCAATTTAAAGAAATTTAGCCAATTTATTAATTCCTATATTTAGCTAAGATTAGATAGTTAATCCAGAGATTCTTACCTTTGCCTTGATTCGGCCGGCTCGTCCAGATCATCATCATGGCATTTGTTGTTCTTTATGATAGCCACATTAGCAGCCAATTAGCATTTCATGTCTGGGGGGTTAAATACAGGCAAATATATTGATAAAAGTAATGGTTATCAAAACGTCAAGCCAGGGTAAGCCTACGTGAAACACAGCCCTTATTTTAAGCGTTTCTAAAATCCCCTATGGGAAAAATGAATGGTGGAAAAAATGATTGGAACCATTTCCCTGTTTGACCGCTAGGTGTTATGGGTATTATGACTCATAGTGTGGTACTCTATTATCCCAGCTGTTACATTTGAGAAGATTGAACGACTGCTAGTTTTTATGGAAAACTGACCGCTTCGATCCTCATGCTAGGTAGCAGAAGCCACAGCAGCCATTTTGGAATGGCAGTGTCAGCCAATCAGCTCATTTGTTGTGCAGCTGTAAGCAAGCGGGTCGGATCTGCTGGCTACCATACCGGATGTTCCATATATAGTGTTCTATTTTTTGACCAGGTGGTGGCGCCCTATCCCCATACAGCTAGTGTACCACTTTTGATCAGGTGGTGGCGCCCTGTATTGTGTCCTACTTTTGACCAATGACAGGGGGATAGATAGCTGACTAGTGGTGGCTAGGGTAAAATAGACGTTTGGGGGGGTTAAATGTCCATAGGGGGAGCAGCAGGGGGGTAGGAAGACCTGGGGGGGGCAATCCTTGCGGTCAGCGGCGGTGGAGTTGCGGTACCAGGCTGCGATGCAGCCCGACAGTATGCTCTCGATGGTGCTACTGTAGAACACTGTGAAGGCCCTCGGGGACAGGACACATTTCTTCAGCATCCTGAGGGTTGAAGAGTCGCTGTCGTGCCTTCTTCACCACGGTGTCCGATGGCCCTCGCATCTTCTGAGATGTGCACCTCGAGGAACTTGACGTTATTTACCGTCTCCGCGGCAGCCCAGTTGATGAGGATGGGGGCGTGTTTCCAGCATGGTTCCTCCTGAAGTCCACAATCAGCTGCTTTGTTTTGCTGACGTTGAGGGGAGAGGTTGTTTACCCTGGCAACACGCCGTCAGACTGACGTTGAGGGGAGAGGTTGTTTACCCTGGCACCACGCCGTCAGAGAGCCCACCTCCTCTCTGTAGGTCGTCTCGTCGTTGGTGGTGATCAGGCCTACCACTGTCATATCCTCAGTGAACTTGATGATGGAGTTGGAACTGTGTGGATATGCAGTCGTGGGGATACAGGGAGTACAGGAGGGGACTGAGGACGCACCCTTGTGGGACCCCGGTGTTGAGAATCAGGGTCGAGGAGGTAATGTGTTGCCTACCTTC